CACCCCTTCTTGGTGGATACAGCTTTTACCTCTAGAAATAATATTTTAATAAAATAATCATGCATAATAATACAGTATTAAGAAAACACAGAATATAAAATAAAAATGAGAACAAAAATAAATCAATAACCCCCATCCCATGACACAGTGTCATAGCTTTAAGTTGGGTCTGGAAGTGACTGCAGTCAGGCCAGGATTGGTGTAATACGACCAAACAGTCTTGAACTGGCCACTGAGTTCAGCACTAACTGAAGTTTCTAAATTGTCTTCAGAGGCAGCCCTGAGGTGAGCGCCTTACAGTAATCTAACCTAGAGGTTGCGTAAGGTACAGGTAAAGGGCCCCTGGATGGTTAAGTCCAGTCAAAGGCGGCTATGGGGTTTGTGACGCCCATCTTGCTTTCTGGCTGAGGGAGCTGGTATTTGTCCACAGACAGCATCTGGATTATGTGGCCAGCATGACTAAACCGCTTCTGGTGCAATGGAACATGGTGATGGAAACCAGAGCGCACAAAAACACCGTTTACCTTCCTACCTAACTCATCATGAACACCTCCCCTGTTCTCTTAGAATGGCAATGGCACACACCTGAGAGGTGCCAGAATTGAGTTCCGGCGAGTTCCAGATGAAAAAAAGCCCTGTATTCATATACAATGTTTGATGAGTTTATGGTGAAACCGTGCAAATCAACAAGTGTACACTCTTTCACACAAGCACTTGACAGCTTGTACCAGTGTTCATTATAAGTTGTGAACAAATAACCTTCACAGAAGTCTGAGGCCTAATTAGGTAGTTTAACCTCCTGCTTCGTTTCAAGTAAAGGGTATTTCATCATGGTACAATACTTGACTAATTGATAGTACACCCATAACCACAAATACTTACCCTTTTACCTTGAGTTTCTTGGGTTTCTTTGCAAGGTTACCCTTCTGCTATTCATGTGATCTTCCTGCAGTAAATACCGTATTTTTCCATGTATAAGATGTCCCCCAGGTATAAGACGCCCCCTATTTTGGGGGACTAAATTTAATGAAAACAAGGAAGGGTGCCCAAATTTGTTGAGCTTTTTAAGGGGGAATTGCACATGCTCCATCACCCCAGCAGGGCCATTGCTGGGGGTTGGCAAAGTGGGCAGCCGCTCCCCCTATGCCACTGCGGGAAATGCTCCCTAGAGCGCACGCCTCCCACAGCGGCATTGGGGGGGGGGGAATTGTGAGCCTGCCAACCAGCTGGATGGCGGCACACGGCTCCCCCACCCCCACTTATCCATGTATAGGATGACCACAGTTTTTTTACATGATTTTTGAGTAAAATAAACCTTGTCTAATACACGGAAAAATACAGCATATTTATTCCGAGTTTCAGCCTTTGGAGATGTCTGGAGAGCTACAGCTTCTTCCTTGTGCTTGATCGAGGCCTTGAGGGTAGGAGGTGACATTTGTTCAGTTGTGTGTCCATCTATGTGTGTTTGTGCAAATCAAAGATTGGGATCAAGATGAATGCTGAAAAAGCTATGGCATTCTAGTAACATCCCTCCATAAAAGTAAAGAGCCAGTTTTTCAGGTAACAAATGGGAGCTGGGGCAGTCTGATTGCTGCAACGACAAGAGAATGTCATTTCCTTATTTGGGAGATCCAATCTTTAGCCTTTCCCAGAAACATTAAGAACATAAAATAAGCCCCACTGGATCAGCCTAAAGGGCCAACTAGTCCAAACTCCTGTTCTTTCTGCTCAGTGAGTTCCTGTGTCTTACTTTATCTCTGCTCAGGTGCATTTCTCCCCAGTTCCATATAATGTTCCAAGAGGCCAACTGAGACTGGCCCAGCAGTCTATGCCAGGCATAGGAAAGCTCCGGCCCTCCAGATGTTTGGGACTACAATTCCCATAATCCCTGACCACTGGTCCTGTTAGCTGGGGATGATAGGAGTTGTAGTCCCAAACAACTGGAGGGCCGGAGTTTGCCTATGCCTGGTCTACGCCATTGCTTAATGATCCAGCTTGAAGAGGAGAAATGTGTGCCTGTTGCTGAAGAGGCATCATGGAGTAATGTTTCCTGAAAAAGGCACCCACATAATTGATTCAGGAGGCTACAAGGGGATGCTGAAGGCTTTATACATCACAGTTGGTGAAAGGCATGGATGTGCTAAACAGATCGTGGCCAGCAGGTCTCCTCTACTCTTTCCTTCCAACTCCTTTTCTGGTTTGAGTGCGGAAAAAGGAGCGACAAGAGAAAGCAGCAATCATACCTGTTGCTCCCTATTGGCCAAAGAGATCATTGTATTCTGAGATAGTATAGCTGAGATAGTGTAGCCGCATCATGGACTCATTCTTGAAATGCCGCCTGTGGGGATTCCAATCACGGCAGAGAAGGCCAGCATGGGGCAGGGAACCAATTGCACATTGCTTTGGGGTGGGTCTAACTACTCTTTGAGCATAGGTTGGAGGCTCAGAAATGCTATCCTGGGCTCCCTTTCAAGATCTGCCTTCAGGAAATTTTCATGTTTAACTAGGTGGCAGTAGCCTCTCTTGCCAACATGCACTGCCCAGTTTAGGCATTCATAGTCGGTGAATCAGATATTTACAGTGGCATCTGTCACTCTGCCCTAGCCCACCCACGCTGGACATAGACAGGGCTTTCCCCTCCCCCCTGCAGCAAGGGCTCATGGGACAGATTTTTCCCATGAGCCCATAACACAAAGAGGGTATACTGGGCAAAACCTTGCCCAGCATTGTGCTGCAGTCTATGGGCCACAGAGCCTCTGGGAAAAGGTATCCTGTGCTTACTGGGCACAGAATGGGGCTTAAGAGCATGTCAGCAATTTACAAATGAGTGTGTTTCTGGCTCTCAGGCAGATAATTTGTCTTTCTGCTGTCTTACATCAGTTCTACTATAAAGGGGTACACTTGAAATTATGTCTGGCCTGCTGCTAAACAAATAAACAGTGCTAGCCCTCCAAAACTGAAGCCAGTTTTGTGATTTACATGAGTGTTCTGGGAAGCCATTGATGGGAATTAGTGCCCAATACAAAACATATGGTGGATTTCCTTTCAGTAAATATGGTTATGATTGATATGAATCAGTGATTTGGTACTCAGTGCCTTGATTGGTAAGTCCAATCATTTCTGAGACATGACATAAAGTTCCTAACATGAAATTCATCATTTATGGCTGCCATGTGCTGTGTCAACATCTTTATTGAGCTCTCCACCACAATCCCAAGCTCTTGTACCAGATCAACCACCACCAGTTCAGAGCCTAATAGCACACATGTGAAATCAGGATATTTGAATCCAATGTGCATCACTTCACGCTTGCTAATGGTGGATTGCAATTGCCATTTTATTGCCCATTCAACCAATTTGGAGTAATCCTTTGGAAGCTCCTTGCAATCAATCTTCCCGGATACATCAGTTTTCTTTGTATACCTTTCTTTGTATACATAAGTATACCTGAAGGAGCGTCTCCACCCCCATCGTTCTGCCCAGACACTGAGGTCCAGTGCTGAGGGCCTTCTGGTGGTTCCCTCGTTGTGAGAAGCCAAGTTACAGGGAACCAGACAGAGGGTCTTCTCGGTAGTGGCACCCGCTCTGTGGAACGCCATCCCACTGGATGTCAAAGAGAAAAACAACTACCAGACTTTTAGAAGACATCTGAAGGCAGCTGTGTTTAGGGAAGCTTTTAATGTTTAATAGAATATTGTATTTTAATATTTTGTTGGAAGCAGCCCAGAGTGGCTGGGGAAACCCAGCCAGATGGGCGGGTTATAAATATTAAATTCTTATTCTTATTCTTTGGGTAGTGATTTAAAAAAAAAAAAAAAACCATAGCAGAGAGGTGGAAAAAATCAATGTAATACAGTCACTGTCATGGAAGAAAAATGTAGGTTCTCATCCATCCCTTAATTCCTCCCTTGCCCACCCAGCAACACAGGAGATCTTGTGTATACTTAGATTGAGCTTTCTAAATAACCAAGGACTCGGTTTCATGCTTGAATGAAGCCCAGTTTTATTTTAGCAAAGCTGTAAATTCAGGCATGGAAGAAGATAATCCAGAATATGTGCCTGTCACCTTATCAAAACCTAATTAAAAGCTAGCTGGCTAAAAAGTTTCAACAGAAGCCTGGAGAAGGGAAGAGAACTATATTTAAACAACTGAAGAGCTGTCACATGGAAGATGCAGCAAGTTTGTTTTCTGCTGCTCCAGAGGGTAGAACCCAAACCAATGGATTCAAAGTACAAGAAAAGAGGTTCTGGTTAATCATTAGGTAGAACTTTCTGATAGTAAGAGCTATTTGACAGTGGAACTGACTACCTTGTAAGGTGATGGACAGTCCTTCACTGGAGGCTTTTAAACAGAGGTTGGATGGTCATCTGTCACGGATGCTTTAGTTGAGATTCCTTCATTGTCGAAGATGGACTGGATCCTCAGGGTTCTACAGTTCTATTATTCTATTATTCAAAGCATTAAGGGTTTGGCAAACGCTGGTGAACCCTTCAGATATTGAGCTCTCCCAAGCTTTGCTACATTCTGATACGGATTTATGAATATAGTGTCTGTTTCCTCTCCCTCTGTGTGTGTGTGTGTTTTCTCTCTCCTCTCCTCTCTTCTTTTCTGTTCCTTTTTTCCTCCATTCCTTCCTTCCTTCCTTCTTGAACCACCCTGCATAGGCAGGTGGCAGTGGAGGCTGCTTCCCTTGATTTGGAAACTAGTATAATGGAAACTAGCAAGCAAGCTGCAGGCTCTTTTGGATCGACACGTTCTGGAGTTTTAAAGAAACACCACTGCCATTGTTTTAAACACAGAATTAAAGTTGTGTGATGTGATGTGCAGAATAAAGAGAAACAGGACACATCAGGAAGGGTGTAATTTGCATAGCACGCAGGAGGGAGCAGCCAAGATGGGGCCCAGCTTTGTAAATTGCTCTGGGTAGATGAGCTTGAAGAGCAATGGCCAAGGCAAAGCAGGATTCTTTCAGCAGCCTGGCCTGTTCCAATTGCTAGGCTTAAGCATGAGAAATGTAGTGGACAGGGAGACCCTTCTCGCAGGTGACCCGGATCCTCTTGATTTTGCTTTTCCCCTTGTACCTGCAGAAGACTCTTCGGAGGCCTTTCCCCCGGGTGCAGATGGTGATCGGGAAGAGGGTCTTGCTGGTCTGGTTCCCATCCAGGATCTTCCCTCTGGAATTGCAGATGGAAGTCAGCTGCTGTTCGCTGGCATGGATGAAGGTGTTGCCTCGCTGGCAGTTCAGGTGTCTCCGTTGCATCATCAGGTTGCAGTAGGTGCTGTCACTCTGCAAGTCAGATTTCGGGTTGTCCTGGTGCCTCTTCAGGAAGTCAGTGTAAGATGTAGCCTGGCTCCATGGGAGAAGGGTGGTGGCCATGACGACGAGCAGGAGAAGAAGGGCCCTACGGTGAGGGCTCCTGGGAGACATGGCAGCGTCCTTTTGTGCTGGGTATCTGCAAAGGCAAGCGATAATAAAGCAACACACATGCTAAGCACTATATGCTAAAGCAGGAGTGAGGAACATTTTTTGCCTAGTGTGGACCAGATCCTGAGCAACCCCAGCCAAAGCTGGTCACTTTGACAGGTGGGCAGGGCAGCCCAGCTGTCAGTCACCTGACAATCCCTTTGCCAGGGAGCTCCTTTGCTATCTGCCCCACAATGGATGGGGCACTACTTGTGGGGGAAATGGCAGGGCCTTTTTGGCTGTGGAATTGGCCATTGGAAAGATTTCCCCTGCAAGATTTGTTTTTAAAATAGGGTTTTATATTCCATTGTGATCCTTGCCTGACAATAATATACCCATTTTTGGTCTGTCTTTGTGCATCTGTGACCGTTTGGAGAGTGGCAGGTTGTTCCTTTTAAACTTGTGAATTCCAGAAAAGAGATCACAGACATTATATTTTCTGTCAAGGTATTTTTCCACTGAGGATGACAGGAGTGTCCCAAGAAGTCTGTGTGACCATTATGATCACTACATTGAACTGTCACCAAGCTGTTGTCATCTTGTGTGTCTCCTAAACCTACAGTATACTAGCTGACTCGTTTGTATAAAATGTTATTTTGTCGAAAGGCTGTGGGATGGAGGTTCCCCATCAGTGCACTAAAGGAAGTTGCCTTAGACCAAACGAGACCATCAGTCCATCTAGTTCAGTTCTGTCCACACTGACTAGTAACTGTACTCCAGTGCTTCAGGCAGGAGACTCCTGCAGCTGTAACTGGAGTATCAGATTCTGGGGACTAAGCGCAGTTCCTTGAAGCACATGCTCTTGCATTGAGCTATGGCTCATGCTAGAAAGACAGGAAGGGGATGAGCCGAGGCTGCAGAGTGGGCATCCTAACCCCATCCTGGCAAATGTCATATTGTCGCTGCTGAGAGACCACTGCTGCCATGTCCCTCTCACCCCATTGCTGTCTCTATCATCCCTTTCCATTTCCAATCCCCTCAAAGCACAGCAGAAACATGGACTATTTACTCCTAACTAAATTGCTGGTGAATTTTATTTTATTTATTTTATTTTATTTTATTAACCTACAAATTGCTGTGGAAATGTAGAGAACTAAATTTAAGGTTAAAAAAATAAGAAACTGAGAGAACCAATACTGACAGATCCATCCATCTTTACCTCATAACATTCGTTCACTGCCCTTTCATAGTCACATTTATAGTGCCTAAACTTGCAGTATTCTTCCCCATAAACTTGCAGTATTCTTGTGGGTCCCTTGAGGATCCTGGTGATTCGGAATATGAATGCCTGCATAAGCGTTGCTAGTTTTATTCCTGGCAGGAACACCGAACCTTTAATGTGTGGAAATTTAGCAGGTGACAAGCTTCCTTGCGTGGAGATAATGTGCTGGAAAGAACTTGACTTACTAGATTTTGGCAAGTCGTGCTGTGAAGAAATGAATTTTCCAGCAATAAAAAGGTGAGCATACTAAACCAGAAGGGCTACCTTTTTAGGGACTGAGTAATTCATACAAAACAATATTTGCATCTAGTGACAAGTGAGCTTCCACAGGCTCAGTTCAGAGTGACTGAGGTAATTAAGCAGGACTATTTCTGTGAAAACATTAGGAAATAGCTTGGCTTAATCCAAGGCAAGCCAAATCAGCTCAGACCTTTTAATGTCCCTATTTTATATTTCAAACCAGATGACTTGAGTCCTTTGACATCTTCAGTTGTGTTTCACCTCTGAACACTACTCATAGGCAGAAACCAGGAGTTCTGGCTAGAGGGACACATGTGCATCTAAATCTAAAGGCTTTCTCAGTCACACAGACTCATCCATTCCATTCCTAAACTCCATGCATCACTGATGGTTGTAGCCTTCTGGGGAAACGAGGCACGATCCATTACTGCAAACTTACCCAACCTGTCAAGCGTCTCCCTTTTTGGCTTCCTCCTAGATGAATGAATGCAGCTGTCAACAGGGCTGAGGACTCCAGCAGGAACAACCTTCCTCTTCTCAGAGTTCCTGTTATATAGAGCTTGCAAGCCTGTTGTCACATTAAGAAGTTTAAGCTGTCCTATGAGTTCCCTGTTTAAGTAATCCTGCACATAGCAACTTTCTGGCAGAAGGTTGCTGAGTTATATAGCATGAAATTAGGTGGACAACCTACACCGCCATCTTTGGAAACGAATGTGTTCAGCCCTTCTTCATTATGATCAGTGCCTGACTTCAGGCAATCACCACCAGGATTTAGACCCAGGATCTGTTTTCCTGGGAAGCCCATAAGCATGACTAAAATGCTTCTGGCACAATGGAACACCATGACAGAAACCAGAGCACATAAAAATGCCATTTACCTTCCCACTGCATTGGTACCTATTTATCTACTTGCACTGGTGTGCTTTCAAACTGCTAGGTTGGCACACGGGTGGCGCTGTGGTCTAAACCACTAAGCCTCTTGGGCTTGCCGATCAGAGGGTTGGCGGTTCGAATCCCTGTGATGGGGTGAGCTCCTGTAGCTCTGTCCCAGCTCCTGCCAACATAGCAGTTCGAAACCTAGCTGGCCACATGACCTGTAAAGCTGTCTGTGGACAAACGCCGGCTCCTTTGGCCTGAAAGTGAGATGAGCACTGCAACCCCATAGCTGCCTTTGATTGGGCTTAACCATCCAGGGGTCCTTTACCTTTTTTTTTCTTTTTTTTAAGGTTGTATAGTTACTTATCTCCTTGGCTCAGGGGTCGTATAACTCCATATTCTCTGATGAAAATAGAGACATCCCAAAGAAAATTGGGACATTCTGGGGTCAAATCTGAAAATAGGGACATTTCGAGGGTCTGCAAGCCTATGTGTAAACATGAAAAAGAAATGAGATAAAGGTTGGGTGTTGCCTTACTGTGCAAGGTAAAAAAGGTAAAAGGTAAAGGACCCCTGGACGGATAGGTCCAGTCAAAGGCGACTATGGGGTTGTGGCGCTCATCTCGCTTTCAGGCCAAGGGAGCCGGTGCTTGTCCACAGACAGCTTCCCAGGTCATGTGACCAGCATGACTAAACTGCTACTGGTGCACGGAGAACTGTGGCAAGTGCCAGAGTGCACAGAAACACCGTTTACCTTCCTGCCACAGTGGTACCTATTTATCTACTTGCACTGGCGTGCTTTCAAACTGCTAGGTTGGCAGAAGCTGGGACAGAGTAACGGGAGCTCACCCTGTCACACAGATTCGAACTGCCAACCTTCCCATCAGCAAGCCCAAGAGGCTTAGTGGTTTAGACCACAGCGCCACCCACATCCAACTGTGCAAGGTAGCATTCTGTGGGTGGGGGAGAAGATGAGAGAGGAGTGTTGGAGGCTGCCTTGCTGTTGTGCATGGCAACATTAGCTGAGGGAGGGAGGCAGAAAGCAACCTCAGTGCCATCTTTGTAGGTTGCCATGGCAGCTGCTGTGGCAGTGTAGCAGCCTCGGTAACTGGCAGGTGCAGTGGCAGGATTTGCTGCTCCTAGACTCTACTGGGATCCTGCCAACTGAGGCAACCACCTCAGGCTGCCATCCCTGATGTTAATCTCCCCTTACTGTGCCCCTGATCTAATTCTACCTGCACACAGTTGCTGCTTCTTTTAAAAGAAAGACAAAGAGAGGGCTGATGTGGTGAATTGGTTAGAGTTTCAGACTAGGATGTGGGAAGCCAAAATTCAGAAGTTAGACTGGCCATGCTTTTCTCCTCATTTCATCCCCACAAAATGTTCCACAGCTGAATTTCATCCAGTCACAAAGTTTAAAACTGGAGCAGCTACTGCCAGAGGTGGTGCTTGTAGCCCTTGGCATTTGGCAGAAGTACAAATTGACTTTCTTTGGGCCCAATACCACATGGAGCAGGGGAAGCTAATAACGTATTGGCCTGAATATAAGCCTCACTATCCCCCCAAATTCTGACCATAAAAAGTTCAAGTGTGGCTTATATTCGCGACCTTACGGTATGCAGCCAGGAGCGTGGGGCAAACAGTGCTAGGAGAGCGGCAAAGTGACGCCCGCCCCATGCGTAGGCCCCCATCCTCTCCCCCAAGGCCGGAAGGGGGAGAGCGAGGAAGGGGAATATGCTGTCAGCAATGCGGATCCCACCCCCCACCCCCACCCCAGGAGCAGCGGCTTATATTTGCATATTTTTTTCTTTTTTCTCTCTCCCTCCTCCAATTTTAAAGTTGCGACTTTTATTCAGGTGCAGCTTATACTCGGGCCAATACGGTATAATATAATATAATGCTGTTGAATGGGGTGGGTGAAGACAGTCTGGGTTTCTTCAACAGATCTAGGCTCTTGTTGGAACAAGCTTCCAAAAAAGGAGATGCACCAACTTGTCCGAACCGCCTCCAGTATCCCGATCTTTCCTGTTGAGCAAATGGCCATGATCTCCTTGGTCCTGCAATCGTATTTTGTAACTGTCTTCTGTATGTGCTTCCAAACCACCAACTGACTAATAGATTGAGACACACATGTAGAGGGGATAATAACCTCAAAGACCTGTTACCACAGCACAGGAGAGGGGGCCTCATCCTGTAATGTGTCACCAGGGGAATTTCACAAACAAGGACAGAGATGGGGTGGCCTTATTCATTGTATATGTATATTTGAGCTTTTATGGCCCACCTTTTTGGATTACATTTATTTATTTATTTTATCTAACAAAAAAGAAACTTTTTTGAAAACTGCTTTGAGGTTTTTTTCTACAATCAAGTGGCGTGTAAATTTTATGAAATAAATAAATAAAATTCACAGACAGCCTACACACACACACACACAGAGAGAGAGAGAGAGAGAGAGAGAGAGAGAGAAAGCTCTCTGAACAGTTTACATAAAATAATATACTATTTTATACTTAAAGCTGCTGTGGAACGGTGGGTTATTAAGTGATCAATCAATTTTGGCATTTTCTTACACATACCAATATAAAGTAGACCTGCCTACGATCAATGATGTAGAGTTCCAGAAAATACATAGGTGCTTCCACATTAAGAGCCCCCAAACCTTGCAAATGTGAAATGAACTTTATGTGGCACTTCTAAATGTATCAGTTCTAAATGTAGCAGGCAGCAGACCAGGAGGCTTCTCCAGCTCTTAATCGGTTGCCAAACATAAATGACGAGCTAGAAAAAAACCACAGCATGGTATGCAAGCTTTTGGGTGACACAGTGCTCTTCTACTGGCTAGGAATTAAGGAAACAAAATGGCTCCAGGGAGGCAAGGCATTTTTTTCTGGTGGAGTGCATGCTTTCAGTTTGCCCATGCAAACTTCAGTTGACTAGAAATGCGACAGAAGTTCAATTCTGTACTCATTTAAAGACAAATCTATCAAGGTCCTTTGACTTTACATGGCTGCCGAAATGGGTGTGGGAGCAACCAGGTTGGATGTAGGGCTGTCGACTTTTCAGCCAGGTGTTATAGCGATGCCTGCAAAAGATGCTTGTTCTATAGATATTTGCATGTGAACTGTTTCTCCCCAGACCATAAAACACTCCATGTGCAGATTTTGGGTTTTGTTTAAAAGCTGAAAGAGCAGGTAAGTCCATTTCCACTCAGCATCCTCTGATCCTACCGTGTCCAATTAGCAATATTTCATGGATGAGAGCCAAAGTAGTAATACACTGAGAAGAAATAGAAAAGGCTTGGAAAGGAGGAAGCAGGTAAGGTTGCTGCTGATGATTCATTCTGAGTGAATTTATACCTCACTTTACAGTCCTAATGACACCTACATGCCTAGATGGTACAAACAAGCCCTCTCTGTTTTGTTTCCCGGGGTAATTTACAAGCTGACAGCCCCTCTGGAATGAAGGATCCCATCAGATCAATCATGTCCAAACAGCGCCTCTTCCTAGTAGCCTTCCTCCCATTTCTCTTCCAACTTCCTCCAACAACATCTAAGCCAATGCCATTGGTTCCACAGCTCTATCTGCAAGAAGCAGGACACTTTTGTGCCTGGCCATTATGGTACTTCATTGGCTAGGGAGTTGACATTAGTACCCTGAAGAGAAAAGGAGCATTTGTGGTGGACACCAGCCAACGGCAGCACCCAGACGGGACGTGCAAACTCTGCCAGAATCCCTTGAGGAAGGGTCAGCTGCAGAAACTCCTTTTAGCTGGCATGGACTGGCAAGTATTTCATACATATCATCAGGGTGTCAGCAGTTCCATTGAGAATTTGGATATGGATGTCGCAAATTCAATGGCCAAGGAGGTGAAGAACAACTGGAAAGTAGGTTTGGAATTGGATAGGGTGGTGAACAAAACAGGGATGAAGCTGCCCAAGGCCTGGGTAGCCCTTGCAGGATCTCACTCCCAGATGACTATTTTTGCACATGAGAAATCTCAGGAGGACACTTATAGTTTTGTGAGGCAAGAGGTCTTCTGTGAATACTACAGGTGAGCAATATTAGCCCTCTACAGCCACAAGTGGCCACTCAGAGAAAGTAATGAGACGAGTACCCTTAATAGAGACATCCTTGTTCTTTGCAGCACAGTATATTATAAAGTCACCAGCATTTGGCAGAGAGAAATAGATAAGCATGCTTTAGGTGACATGTAAAGTATTGTGTGCTTCCCCTTTTCTGAGCTGCAGGAAATTCAGGGAGGCCTTTACAAATGGAGGGAGCATATTTCAGAAGACAAAGAGCTGTGTACATACCATAGATTTAAAGCACATGTTTAAAGCGAATAATTCTGGGAGCTGTAGTTTACCCTACACAAAGGTATAATTCCCAGCACTCTTAATAAACTATAATTCCCAGGATTCTTCAGAACAAAACCCTGTATAAGCAAAGATATGTTTTTGTTCTCCTGTGGCAAGACTGAAGCACATAATAGTTTCAGAGCAAGTTATTTCAAGGCAGGCAACTGTTTCACAAAACAGAGACACTGCTTGCTCAGGATTCGAAAATATTAAAAGGATGTTCTTGGCAAATAAATTGATGGAATGTTCCACCCCCAAAATGCAGACCCCCTTGATATTAAAATTGGGTCTAATTTTATTCTTCAAAGTTTCAGTGTCCATTGCAAATGCAACAAGGGAGAGCCCTCCTTCATTCCTCTCTTAAGGTGTAGCCTCAGAGAAGACAACCCATTCATCACTATTATTGCCAACAACCTCATGTATAGTGCAAAAATCATTTTCCAAATGCCATGTATTTAAACAACATTTTTAAAAATGCCCACAACACACCATTAAAAGTTTTGTCTGTGTCTAGAGATACCACATTTTTCTGAAGTCACAGTATATCATACTGAATGCCCTTTGGATCAAGTCAGCAATATTCCATTTGGGAATAAAGCCTGTCTGATCTAAGCAATAAATGCATTTAACATGCACAATGTAATTGGCAGTAACAATTTGCTGGCCGCATCCCTGACCATATATCTGAAGGAGCGTCTCTACCCCCATCGTTCTACCCAGACTCTGCAGTCCAGCACTGAGGGCCTTCTGGCAGTTCCCTCACTGCGAGAAGCCAAGTTACAGGGAACCAGGCAGAGGGCCTTCTCAGTAGTGGCACCCACCCTGCGGAACACCCTCCCAGCAGATGTCAAAGAAAACAATAACTACCAGACTTTTAGAAGACATCTGAAGGCAGCCCTGTTTAGGGAAGCTTTTCATGTTTGATGTATTACAGTATTTTAATATTTTGTTGGAAGCCGCCCAGAGTGGTTAGGGAAGCCCAGCCAGATGGGCAGGGTATAAATAATAAATTATTATTATTATTATTATTATTGGCTATGCTGATGGGAGTCCAGTGACTTATGGATTCCACAAGCTTCTCTTCCCTCACACGAATGGAAGCCTGTGGGGGTGTGTCATGTGGGCAACACTATAAACTTTGTTTATAGCACTATAAACAGCGGGTGGCGCTGTGCTCTAAACCACTGAGCCTCTTGGGCTTGCCAATCGGAAGGTCTGCAGTTTGAATCCCTGCAACGGGGTGAGTTCCCATTGTTTTGCCCCAGCTTCTGCCAGCCTAGCAGTTCAAAAGCACATCAAAGTGCAAGTAGATAAATAGGTACCACTCTGGTGGGAAGGTAAATGGTGTTTCCGTGCACTCTGGCTCCCGTCAAAAATTTATTGATTAAAATAAATCTACATTGAAATGCTGACGAATTTTCATGAGATGAAAAAGGCTAAGAAATGTGGGGAACGACATTAAAGAAGGAGAGAATGAGAACTGAAAGAACAAAAATTGACAGATCCTTCCTTCCTTAGTTGAAACAGAGTAAAAACGGGTTTGTTATGTAAGTGTGTGTGTGAGAGAGAGAGAGAGCGCCAAAAAAGCAATATGATAGCCAGAAGGGAGAGGCATGGTTTATATAAAACCCAGTCTGGCACAATCCATGGATTTCTTCCTAGGAAAAAGTTATGAAACTTTTGGCAAACTTTTCATTGGCTCAAAAGCACAACAGAGTGGTAAATCAGCCACTTGATCTGTGTGGAGCTGAATCCAATACGGTCCCCCTGGAAAAAGTGAGTCCTTTTTGCATTCATTTCTCTCCTTCCCTCTGCTGTTTTGTCTTTTCCTCATTATCTGAAGGAACCTGATTTGCATCTTTCTTCCATTGTCGTGTGGACCAGTTCTTGGATTCCTGTCTCCTGCCACACCCAGTTGCTGCTGTTTTCTTTCCTAACTGGTGAAAGAGAAAATGGAGGGTGAGACTGCCATAAGGATTCCAGGAACAGCACTAACTTTTAACCCCTCTGCCTATTTTCATCAGAGCACCAAGAATACCATGTGATTCGATTTAAACACACCGTGTAGCAAGTAGACCAAAGCTGATCCCACTGTTTTCTAGTTTTCCTGCAATGGACTTCAAATTCACATTCCTAACCTACAGAAACGGGTGTGGGTCAGGCATGGAGCAAGCAGGATGGCGGTAGGGCTGCCAATTTTTCAACCAGCTGCTGCAGCTGTGCCTGTAAGAAATATCTGCACGTGAACTGTTTAACCCCATGCCTAAAAACACTTCATATGCAGATTTTGGCTTTTGTTCAAATGTTGAAAGAGCAGATCAATCCATTTCCACTCACCAGCCTGTCATCCTGCCCGGTCCAATTAGCGATCCTTATGCGGTGATATGCAAAACATAATTTTGGTTGCCTCCAGAATGTCAGCACAATTAAATTCATACAAGGCACACTGCAACCATGGTGCTGCAAATCTACTTCAAACACAATAATGGACTTTATGGGAAGTTGTGAATTAGGGTGGATTCAGGAGGAATGCTCTTTGCCATATAACCCCCTCCAAATAAATCAGAACAAATGCTCAATAAAGTTCAGGCATAGTGTTCCCATTACCACCTTAGAGAACAGTGAAGTTATTTTTTTCACTACTACATTTCACAGTTCTGCCACCTCCTCCTTGATGTTCACATAGGCTGTTCATTTCTGTTTCTGTACTAACCAGGGGGTATTGATGGGGGTAGGGAGCGGGTGGCGCTGTGCTCTAAACCACGGGGCCTCTTGGGCTTGCTGATTGGAAGGTCGGCATTTCAAATCCATGCGATGTGAGCTCCCTTTGCTCTGTCCCAGCTCCTGCCAACCTAGCAGTTCGAAAGCATGCCAGTGCAAGTAAATAAATAGGTACCACTGCGGCGGGAAGGTAAACGGCGTTTCCACGTGCTCTGGTTACTGTCATGGTGTCCCGTTGTGCCAGAAGGGGTTTAGTCCTGCTGGCCACATGACCCGGAAGGCTGTCTGTGGGCAAACGCCGGCTCCGTCGGCCTAAAGCGAGATGAGCAACCCCATAGTCACCTTAACCGTACAGGGCTCCTTTACCTTTACCTTTTTTATTATTGATGGGGGTGAGGGATGTGATTCCCTTGGCAAACATGTTCACATTTTTGCTAGAGAAAAATTAGGAGTGACTCAAGGACTCCTTTTGGCATGAAGCTGGGTTGAGAAACAACACCTCAATTTATAACAAAGTGCAGGATACACAATGCATTTTGGGTAACGTCCTGTGAAAACACAATAAAAACATGACACTGGTAATACAGTGAATGCAGTGATTGGGAATGTGGCCACAGTCTTGGTCTAAGCATTGTGCCAGCAAATCAGGATGGATTCTCAATAAACAGCTCATCTGGAAGAGCCCATGGTGTGAGACCCCTATTCATATCTGAAACTCAGGGCTGCCATTGGAGCACCAGACTCCTTCCTCCTGCATCACATGCCCATCCTCCTCTGAATCACCTATAGCCTTACTGCAGGGGGAAGGGGAATGATGTGTTCAGCTATCAAAGCAGTACCCCTCTCTTCTCCATGCCTATGTCCGATTTATATGAATGCTTATTAGAATTTGCACATCACATCTGTTCTGGGCACAGAGGGAGAGGTTGTGTTCACTGTGCAAATGCAGGTTAGCAATTCTGTCACCGCACTGCCCTCTCGTGGCAAAAATAAGGACACACAAATTGTTCTACTAAAAACTGTGTATACTGTATCCGCTGCGCTTGTGGGCTGTTATATGTAGGCAGTACCACTCATGCAATTAGGACCAGAATCTCTGAGCATAGGTCCAAAATACATAACATATGTTTAGGCGCCCCATTAGTCCAGCATTTCCAGCAAGCAGCCCATACAGAGAATAATCTGAGTTTTTTTAATCTTGTGGACCTTTAAAAAACAACCTTTTAGAACTGTAGATATACGAAGAGCCTTGTTACAGAAACAGTATAAATTAATATTTCAATTAGGAACCTTATATGCAAAGGGTTTGAATACTGAATTCGATCTAAAATGCTATGTATGAGTGTACTGTTGTTTGGTTGTAACAGAAAAGTGATGCTGCAGCTTTAATCATGTAATCATGTAATCATGTGATGATTGATTCTATACTCCTGTATTGTATTTAACTGCTTGTTATGAGTCTGAACATTAGTTGTGCCTGTGAATACTTTCTTTATCCTGAGCAAACCATTTTGTATGATTGGGTAAGGTATAGTATAAGACTGATCTTTTCTAATTTCTATGGTTTACCACACATTGTAATTGGAGTGCTATTTTGTATCATGCAGCTTTTCGGACTGATGAAGTGTGTAGCGAAACCTGTAATAAATCCGGAGAACAGGTCTCTTTTTGCCCACTTGCGTTATTCTCACCATCGTGGTGGCTTTGATTTGCCTTCCCGTGATTGATCCATGTACCCGGCTTTGTCTTTCCAACTCAAGATCCATTGAAGAACATCTCATCCAGCTCAATCTTTGAAAAACAGCTTTGAAAAACTTTTTCATATTCTCCAGAGTGCTACCCTTGCCGTTGTGGCAGTATGGGGTTGCCGTTCTGTGATTGGACTTATACTTGTTGAATGGTTCATTTATCCAGTCCGTATAACGTTTAGTGTACATGTAATTTGTTAAGATAGAGTTGTACACTTATCCACTCCATGTTTACATTATCTCCAGGCTTTGTCTTGCACATGGCACCTTAGTATGTTTGTTTTTTGAATGGTTATATGTCTATCTCTATTCTAGCTATTATTCTAGTAAATTTGGTTTTATGCTTATAAGCCAGTTTGTGGTGTTGTTGTTGTTTTGTTGTTTCTTTATCTGCTGCCATAACTTATTTTATGCATTATAATATGTATTATATTATGCATTATAATTTATATTACAATCCTAGGTGCTAGGAAGAATGAGGCTGTCCGAAGACGTCTTTTGCCTATTCCTTGCAGTCCTGCTGGTTGATCTACTCCCTGAGTCATCCTGCGGCAACAACCCCCGCTATGAGAAGTTCCTGAACCAGCACCGAGACGAGCCCAGGAGCCGCTTCCACGGCCGATACTGCAACACCCTCATGGGCAGCCGTGGCCTGACCAAACCCGAGTGCAAGGAGGTGAACACTTTCATCCACGGCTCCAAGCGGCAGATCCGGGCCGTGTGTGCCGAAGGAGGGCTTCCCTCGGGGGAGCTGCGGAAGAGCCGGCAGCACTTCAGAGTCACCACTTGCACGCTCCGGGGGGGCTCCACTCGCCCACCATGCGAATACAAGGAGAACATTTCACCCAGGTACATTGTCATTGGCTGCGAAGGCGGCTGGCCGGTGCACTATGACGAAAGCCAGATTGTGACCTCTCTTTGAAGCACCATTGGTAGACCTGAAGGAATCTCTCTTCCCTGTGTATTCATCAAATTCTGTATCCCAGTATCCCAGTCAAAACAAAGCCCAAGTACATGAAATAGCTGTGTTCACATTAATCCATTGAAACCTTCCCTTGCCTCGACTTTTCCTTCCCTCTTTATTTCTCACCTCCCCCATTCTCAAATAGATTGTAAGCTCACTGGGGCAAGGAGTCGCCTTTAATGTTTGTTGCTCTGCAAAGTGCTGTGTATACAGATGACACTGTTTCAACGCTAATATTGTCATTGTTAATCATGGCCACCACCATGGGATCAAGATTGAATCATATGCAGATTAGGCCCACTGAAATCAATAGGGCTTCACTGAGTCATCACTGGTATTCCAAACAGTAAGGAGACTACCCTAAATATGAATGAGACTGAATCTGATCCAACAAGTTTACACAGTGGTACCTCTGTTTTTGAATGTCTCCATTGATGAACATTTCGATTTTCGAAATGCTTCAGTTTTCGGATATGCCTTGGAAGTCGAACATGCAACACAGCTTCCACTGAATGCAAGATCCTGTGGCCTAGCTGTCAGCTATTGAGTTTTTGGTTTTCGAACGTTTCAGAACTCAAACCGTCTTCCGGAACAGATGACGTTCGAAAACCAAGGTACCACTGTAATATCATTTTACAGAAATAAGTGACAATGTGCTGGAATATACTGTTATTCAGCACATGTGATTGGGAAGTATCCTGGCAGCGCTACGATTTACCATGACATTATTGAATCGTATCGCTTTGAAGAATTTCTTGCTGCTGTTTGCTTTATTTCTGTGCTTTTGTGTTTGGTGTTATAATGATTGTGATGTTTTATTTTCAACGCTGTTGTGATTATTGTGAGCCACTGCTCACAATATATATATGCTACACATATATTGGCTGCACATGTAAAAAGAAAAGTAAGGACTATATAAATACACATTAAAAACCTTACAAACCTTTTTTATTCATTATCTTTAAATTAGAAGTGAATAAAACATTGCATATGAACAAATTAAAGGCTCTCAAGTTTGTTTCTTAATCATTCATTTTGTGGCATGTATTTTCACTCAGATCTAGTTTTTCTTAGTTGATGACATTCAGGACAGGCATCAGTCAGGTTTCCAGTCACAGAAATCTGCTATCATCAAATCCACTTTTTCTGTGCTGGAGAACTCTCGACCTTCTTCCCATCTTTCAATGTTCTTAAACACTCCTGCTCCCTCTCGGATTTAGGCATACTAGTTTAGGAAATCTTAATTTAAACATTTTTCTATAACCAGGCTTTAGGTGGATTAACATTCTATGTCCTTTTAAATGTGTTTGTAGTAAGGGGGGTTATTGTTTTGTTTTGTTTGTTTTATTATGTATTTTGTGTTCTCATTTTGTATCTTTATGTTGTAAACCGCCCTGCGATCTTCAGATGAAGGGCGGTATACTACTACTACTACTACTACTACTACTACTAATAATAATAATGCACAAATCCTTTTTAGCTTTTCTTTTCCATCCAGTACAAATGGGACACAACTGGCCTTCCAGATATTGCAGGACTACAGCTCCCACAATCTTTGGCCATTGGTCATTCTGGCTGGGGCTGATGGGAGTTGGAGTCCAACAGCATCCAAAGAGCAGCAAGTTAGGAGAAGGCTGACTTCGTGGAAAAGTGATGCAAACTTGGCAGATGGCTTGATTGCAGTCTCCTTGCTCCCAGGAAGCAGTTCTCCCTGAGGCTGACAAGCCAACAAAGCCAAACTGTGTTGGAATTCCCTATTCCTATTTGGAAGTTGCATCCAAGCATTCCAAGGAGGTTCAAAACAATTAGTCAGAGCCCTTGGGCACTGTTGCTATTGAAAGAATATTGATTCCTGGCCCCCTACTATATGAGAACATGGGACAAGCTAGCAGCACATCACTCAATGACGAATATTTGAACGAATGTGCTGCAAATTCCTCAAATTCACATCAAAGGGTTCAGAATTCCTGAATGACAGGGAGAAAGTGAGAAACCAAGAGGGATTTTGAAAAAATCCAGGGCTTAATAAGAGACAGGGCCCATCCCATAAAAAGCAACAACACAGGAAGTTGCATTAGGCTGAGTCAGAACTCTGGTCTATCTAGTTTAGTATTGTCTGCACCAAGTGGAAGTCATTCTCGAGGGTTTCTGACAAAGGTTTCTCCCATCCATACCTGGAGATGCCAGTGAATCTAAGCAATTCAGTCTCTTAAGCTTAAGCCAAGAAATAGTATTCCCTATGAAATTCAATATCAATATACGTATCAAGGCTTTGAGTTTAGACCACTGAAGAAACCCAGAAAAATACCTTGGGAGTGTGTTACCTGCAAGCCCCAGTAAAAGGGCCCCATTGGGGGCGAACAGCGGCCTCTTGATAACTTGGACTGCCAGAGTGAAACAGGTGCAAAATGCCGGCACCGTGTCTACAACTTTATTAACATCCAAAAAGATAAAGAAAACAACTTTATTAACTTACCCAAAAAGATAAAGAAAACAAAAGACTGAGCTAAGTACTTGAAAAATCCATTGAAATAAGATATTATAAATTCATCTTAGGTTGGGTAGTTCGTAAGTCTCTTTGGCTTTGCATCAGTTTTTGTATTTTTCTCAGAAGATTGATAAAGAATGGGGGGCCACCAGGGGGCGCATTGGAAGATGGCTGACAATAACATCTCTCCGACCCACATGAGGTAATTAAGAGGCTGCTATGGGAAGTATGCAGCCTTCCCGGGCCCCCCAAGGGGATGGGGGGGGGACTGCCTTGCCAGCGGTGTCCATAATTCACCCCCGGATTCGAAAGAAGGGGGTGTGGACACTTGGCACAAGCCCTCGTGTGAAGTCAGCTCTTCCTGATGCTGTCTCCAATCAGCGCACTGGTTCGCTTTGGCTCGAAATATATAATTGGAAATACATAATTGGAAAGAAGCTAAAGCATATACATCAAGCGAAGATCGGGAGTAAAGATTGCTGATTAATGGATCTCTGTGAGCGGAGCGACGGGCGGGACAAATAAATCAAGTGATGAATCAGCATAAAAAGACTGGTATGTTTGGAGTGAAACGGAAAGGGGGTGGAAGAAAAAACTTCCTTTTTTTGCCTTATGTGAGTATTAATAACCCTCCACCCCAGAGAGAAGAATCGTTGCAATTTATTAATCACAAGCAGGAATTCAAGAACTGTGTAGAGTGAATTATTGATCAAAGAGAGGATTGGTAAACATCGGAGAACGGAGGAAAGTTTTATGACGCAGTTTCAAATGGCGTCTCGCCAAGACAGGCTTGCCTAAGAAGGACGGGGGGAGGAGGACCAGGGTCATCGGAATGCGAATGGTTATCGGAATGTGATCTAGACCTGGCAAAGCCCTCTGAGATATGTTTGGCAAGCCTGGGAAAATCAATGGACAGACTGAGGGAAAGTTCTTTACGGAGGTGTGGAAATGGCGTCTGTCCTTATGTGATATGATTTTTGGAGAGTGTAAAACCCACACAGAGGATAATAATAATAATAATAATAATAATAATAATAATAATAATAAATTTTATTTATATCCCGCCCTCCCCAGCCAAAGCCGGGCTCAGGGTGGCTAACAACACTAAAATAGTGCAACATTATAAAAACATTATAAAAATTAATTAAAATCAAAATTGATGGCAACCATAAACTAAAGTTTTGTAAAGATTGCCAAAGGAGGGAGTCAGGCTGCGCCCTGACCAAAGGCCTGGTGGAACAGCTCTGTCTTGCAGGCCCTGCGGAAAGATGTCAAGTCCTGCAGGGCCCTTGTCTCTTGTGACAGAGCGTTCCACCAGGTTGGAGCCGCAGCCGAAAAAGCCCTGGCTCTAGTTGAGGCCAACCTAACCTCTCTGTGGCCTGGGACCTTCAATATGTTTTTATTTGAAGACCGTAAGTTCCTCTGTGGGGCATACAAGGAGAGGCGGTCCCGTAGGTACGAGGGTCCTAGGCCGTATAGGGCTTTGAAGGTTAAAACCAGCACCTTAAACCTGATCCTGTACTCCACCGGGAGCCAGTGCAGCTGGTATAGCACCGGATGAATGTGATCTCGCAGCGAAGACCCCGTAAGGAGTCTCGCTGCGGCATTCTGCACCCGCTGGAGTTTCTGGGTCAGTCTCAAGGGCAGCCCCATGTACAGTAAACCAGTCTGGAGGTGACCGTTGCGTGGATCACAGTGGCTAGGTCAGGGCGAGAGAGGTAAGGAGCCAACTGCTTAGCTTGGCGGAGATTAAAAAATGCCGCCTTTGTTATAGCTGCAATCTGCGCCTCCATGGAGAGAGAGGTATCGAAGATTACACCCAAACTCTTAACGGACGGTGCTGGCACTAATTGCACCCCCGCAAGAGATGAGAGTTGCCCCCTCAATCCCATATCATCCCGTCCCAGCCAGAGGACCTCTGTCTTCAAAGGATTTAACTTCAACCGGCTCCCACGTAACCATCCAGCCACAGCTTCCAAGCATCTGATTAGTGTGTCTGGGGCCGAGTCAGGATGGCCATCAACATCCATCAACAGATAGAGTTGGGTGTCATCAGCATACTGATGCAGCCCAGCCCAAAACTCCAGACAAGCTGGGCGAGGGGGCGCATAAAGATGTTAAAAAGCATCAGGGAGAGTATCGCACCCTGGGGCACTCCACACACTAAGGAGTGGCAGGATGACAATTCCCCCCCAAGCGCCACCCTCTGTCCCCGACCAGAGAGAAACGAGAGCAGCCATTGAAGGACTGTGCCCGGCATCCCCACGTTGGCAAGGCGGTGGTCCAGGAGTTCGTGATCGACCATGTCGAAGGCTGCTGACAGGTCTAGAAGAATCAGCAGTCCCGACCCGCTTCGATCCAGCTGCCTGCAGAGATCACCTGTTAGGGCGACCAGAGCCGTCTCGGTCCCATGACCGGCGCGGAAGCCGGACTGGAATGGATCCAGAGCCGATGTTTCATCCAGAAACCTACCAAGCTGTTCAGCAACCGCTCTCTCAATCACCTTACCCAGGAATGGAAGATTCGAAACCGGGCGGTAATTGGATAGATCTAAGGGATCTAATGATGTTTTCTTTAAGAGCGGGCGCACCACTGCCTCCTTCAGTTCCCCTGGGAATGTCCCGGTGCCAAGGGACAAATTGATGATATCCCCCAGGGGGGCCTGCACCTCGTCTGGACACGCTCTAATCAGCCAGGACGGGCACGGGTTGAGAGGACAAGTGGTGGGCTTTCCAGCTCAGAGGAGTCTGTCCACATCGGCTGGGGATATCCGGTCAAAGTGGTCCAATACTGGACCCGAGGACAGTCGAGGGGCCTCCAGTTCCTTTATTGTATCCAAATTGGCAGGGAGGTCATGGCGGAGCAACAGGACCTTCTCCGCAAAAAGCTCGCAAATGCCTCACAGCTGTGTGTCAAATTGTTATTTAAATTTGGCTGTCCTTCGAGGGACGTTAAAGACCGAATTATACTAAATAATTGCGCTGGGCGAGAGCTAGCGGATGCAATGGAGGCCGAGAAGTAGGACCTCTTAATGGCCTTCACTGCCATCTCGTAGGTTTTCATAAAAGCCCTATAAGATGTTCTTGAGGCTCCGTCACGGGCACCCCGCCATACTCGCTCTAGCCGTCTGAGGTCCTGCTTCATTTCCCGGAGCTCCTCGGTAAACCAGGGAGCCCGGTTTCTGCGGGGTCGCAGAGGGCGCTTAGGTGCGATCTCATTGATGGCTGCCAGGAGCTGGGTATTCCAGCCCTTAACAAGCTCAGTCAATGAGTCGCCAGGGGGAGAAAGGTCCCGCAAGGCTTGACGGAATCTATCAGGGTCCATCAGCCTCTGCGGGTGAGCCCAAATCGGCTCGCCACCTAAGCAGGGTGGGGGTGGAACGTCAATCCTGGCTTTCCGAGTGTAGTGGTCAGACCATGGCGCCTTCATCAAAGGAAACATGATCACATCTATACCGACGCCTAAGATCAAATCCAGCGTGTGGCCTGCTTGATGTGTGGGGCCCGAAACAAACTGGGAGAGCCCTAGTGTCGCCATGGAAGACACCAGGTCCAGAGCCTGTGAGGAGGGAGTGGCATCAGCATGGATGTTGAAGTCCCCCAATACCAATAGGTTAGGGAACTCCAAGGCCCAGCCGGCCACCGCCTCCAGCAGGCCTGACAGGGTGGCTGCTGGTGCGCTAGGTGGCCGGTACACCAGCCAGACAGCCAAGCTCACCTCGGAGCCCCACACTAGGCCAACACATTCAATGCCGGGGATCGATGGCGATGGTAGAGCCCTGAAAGAACAATCTTCCCGGATTAATAATGCCACCCCTCCCCCCGGCCCACAGTCCGCGACTGGTGGAGGACGGAGAAACCCGGGGGCGTCATCTCTCGTAAGGTAACAGTATCCCCTTTGCGCACCCAGGTCTCCGTCACACAAGCCAGGTCGACCCCCTGCGAGATAGGAGGTTTTGTTGCCTATAGACCTGGCATTGCACAACACCAGTGATGGAGGTGAGTAATCCTTGCTCACCCTACCCTCGTCTCTCGGGATGGGACGCAGATTGGAAGGGGTACGAGCATATCCGTATCTCGATCCCCTTCGCCTATGACATCTGCCCCCACCGCCATACCTCCCTCGCCCCTCCACAGTAGGAATCCCAAGGATGTTTGTTTTAACCCGCTTGTGAAGATTATTGGAGATCGCAAAGAAAGGAATATATTATAAGAACAAGAAGATGAGGAAAGTAACAAAGAGACTATCTGGACAGAACTGGATAGAACTGTCTAATTAAAGCAGCAATATAAGTGATGTTTGGACCCCTTTTCGGAGCTTGAAGTAGGGGTACCCCCAACAAAAATTTAAAAATCTGGCTGTATAATTTGGAACTAATGTGATTTGGAAATAATGTGATTTGATTGGCCTGTTAATAAAAATTATATTTTTTTAAAAAAAGAAGATTGATAAAGAATGCATAATCATTTTGGTAATTACAGTGGTACCTCAGGTTACATACGCTTCAGGTTGCTTACACTTCAGGTTACAGACTCCGCTAACCCAGAAATAGTACCTCGGGTTAAGAACTTTGCTTCAGGATGAGAACAGAAATTGTGCGGCGGCACAGCAGCAGCGGGAGGCCCCATTAGCTAAAGTGGTGCTTCAGGTTAAGAACAGTTTCAGGTTAAGAATGGACCTCCGGAATGAATTAAGTACGTAACCAGAGGTACCACTGTATTGTGTGCATATTAGTCACCAATGTGTTGCATGAGTCGTACTACAAAAGGGAACACAGCTCTTTCTATCTGAGGCAGCAATTAAGATGAGGCCACCATCTCATTGTGTTGTTTTGGAAAACACAGCTCTAAGACAATGGGATTTCACGTTTCAACATGCCCTACTACTTTGAATATGAGACTGTCGCTTGTCAGTAATTACTGGGAAGCATTGGGATAGGCATTGATTTCGACACAAATCACTTCCTGGTCTCTTCCCTCTGCCCTCTTTGCCCTGCCTAGCTGCTTACTGTATAGAAAGCTCCTTGTTGACCAGAGTCAGAGGCAACTAGCTCCTTCCAACCGGAGTGTGATCCATTTCTTTGACGTGGAGCTGAACCCAGTGGCAGGTAAGTGAAACCTTGCCCAGTGCTACATCCAGGGCTTTTTCCAGCCATAACTCAGTTCCGGCACCTTTCAGGTGGACACCAGAGGCGTAGCATGGACAGGGTGAGACTGGCAGGGTGGCAGGAAGACGCAACAGGCATGCACCCTTCCAATCAGTCCAACTGGGCTGATTGGAAGGATGTTTGTCTGCCCTGCTGCATCCTCCTCGACTGCTGCTGGGCACCATTGCCATTGTAAGAGAATGAGGGAGGGACATCCATTAATATGTGCATGCAGCTGATGGGCATAGCATGAAATTTGAAGGAGGCAGGAATGGCTCAGGGTAAAGGCCAGATTGTAAGGTGATATAGGGTGAGAGGTGAACTACATGGGGCCAAATGAGATGTGGGAGATCTGTGATCAGGACCTCCCATGCATGTTGTTGTGGCGATCACACAGGGTCCCCAGATGTTTCACCATCTATTGATCCCTGTGCCACCACTTTATTTCTCGCTGCCACCACCCAGGCCCTACTTGGTATAATACTGAGTCCAGTCAGGGTTAAATTGGAACATAAACTTTTGTTTATTTATTGCAGTTTAACAAGCGTGTGGTTTCATAAACGGTATCAGTCAATTACAAACACGGGATGCCTATCCAGACCTATAACTTCCACTACCTGCTCTCACTCACTAACCCACCTCTCAGATATTTACTTGTCTTCCTAGCCCCTAAATATTCCTGACTCAGCTTATTTTGCTACACTTACTCAACCTACCCACAAACTCTATCCCAATTCACTCCCACTCCAACCAACCACCCAACTCCCAACTAACTCCTCCCTTTACCCCTCCAAAAGCTGGTTTTATAGTCCCTCTGACTCCACCACTGGGTCCTGATTGGGTCACCTGTTTAACTATTTCACCTCCAGCACTCTCATATGTTAACATCACAGTTGCTCACTTGAAGGTAACAGCAATCACTGCACCACATTGGCTCTGTAATCAGCAAATAAGAATAATAATTTATTATTTATACCCCACCCATCTGGCTGGGTTTCCTCAGCCACTTTGTTTTTTTTTTAAGAATATTTATTCAAGTTTTAAAATTACAAAAAAGAAAGAAAAAACAAAACAAGAAAACCAGTCACATACATCTTACAAAAAATACACACCATACAAGAAAAAAAAAAAGGAAAAAATACACAAAATCAAAAATCACAATAAAGAAATAACAAGAAAAAAAGAATTCAAATTTAACAAACCGTTTTCCCATTTACTTATTTCCGTGACTTCCTCTCACTTCTCTGCTTTGTATTCTAATTCAAATTGTATCTCCAGCAAATCCTTCTAACCTTCTTTTCACTCACTTATTTTAACATTTTAACATTCAAAAATATTTAATTCTCCTCTATCCTTTAGTTTACACTTTATATTTACTTAATTCCATTATACTCTGTCTGCCAATACGGTCTAATATTTCTTCTCCAACCTTTCCTAACATTCATTTATGTTACAGTAATTCTGTAAATATATTTTAAACTTTTTCCAATCTTGTTCCATCAACCCTTCTTCTTGGTCTCGAATTCTTCCAGTCATCTCAGCCAGTTCCATATAGTCTATCACTTTTCTCTGGGTTTCCTCAGCCACTTTGAGTGCCTCCCAACAGAATATTATTATTATTAATAATAAAAGCGATAAAACATCAAACATTAAAAACTTCCCTAAACAGGGCTGCCTTCAGATATCTTCTAAAAGTCAGATAGTTGTTTATTTCCTTGACAGCTGATGGAAGGGTGTTGCACAGGGCAGGCACCACCACCGAGAAGGCCCTCTGCCTGGTTCCCTGTAACCTCACTTCTCGCAGGGAGGGAACCGCCAGAAGGCCCTCGGAGCTGGACCTCCGTGAACGATGGGGATGGAGATGCTCCTTCAGGTATGCTGGGCCGAAGCCATTTAGGGCTTTAAAGGTCAGCACCAACATTTTGAATTGAGCTCAGAATCAAGTAAATTGGTTTATAAAAATTAGGCATTGGGGGGTATCTGGACTGTGATCATGGTAGGAGAGGCAGGGGGCTCTTTATCTCTCGCTCCTCCAGTCTGGTCCTGGTCCAAATCTCGCTCACACGCATAACAGGTCAGTGTTAGAAAAAAGCAAATGTTCTGACCTCCTTTCTCTGGTCCTCGGACCCTAGTCAGCGCAAAGAGTCCTTGAAAAAGAGTACTTTGCAGAATTCTGCTTTTATTCTTAAAAGTCTTTATCTGCAAAACGACCAACCAACTGTACACACATCAACACTACCAGCTTTCTCTAACCAACCAACCCACACCCAACACTAACATTGACCACTCTATATATACAGGTACAATTATGTCAAAGGTTGCATGAGTCATTGTAGGTCGCTTACTTAGTTCTTTTCGCATTAAAGAAACAGCAGCCAATTTTTAGCCATGACATAACACACCTGATATTTGAGTCAAAGGGGGCAGGACCTCCCATTCGTGCCAATCATATTTAATTTTGTTTCCATAGAAGCTTCCCACACTGTCCAAATTCTACCACTACATTATCTGTAAGGTGTATAAAGGTTCTTGTTGTCCCCCCCTTAAGAAATAGGCATCTCTTTAATGCTTCCTTTTTTCAACCTCTTCCTTTTCCTGCCAGTAGATTCTTAGACGCTGCCATGCTGGTCTCTCACTGCCTGCTGGTTCGTCTGGCCATCCTTCTCAGCGTCCTCCTGGTGCAGTCCTGCGAAGGGCAGTCTTGGGCCGCTTTTCAAAACAAGCACATCAATTACCCCAAAACCTCAGCCCCCAACCTCAATGCTTACTGCAACCTCATGATGGTGCAGAGGAAGCTGAATCCAGCGGTGTGCAAAGTCACCAATACCTTCATCAACAACGCCACGGATTCTGTCCAAGATGTCTGTGGCAATGGCGGGAAGCAGTTCAAGGATAAATTATATGACAGCAACAATCCGTTCTCCATGACCATCTGCAGGTTCATCAATGGTAAACCTCCTAATGACTGCAAATACAAAGGCACAGTTACCTCCAGACGCATTCGTGTCACCTGCGAAAACAAGAAGCCCGTTCACCTGGCAAAGCTGCTGTGATAGGCAGAAAACCACACAAGCCACGCTCTGCCCATTGAAGCCAGAATGCTCATTTGGCCATTTCTACCTGCAACACACCCACATCATTGGCTTTTCCCGGTTTAACAGTCATTTGCCCTTTCCAGGGGACCTTGGGAGCTGTGGCTCTAAGGGCAATGACGCCAAGCTTCTAACTAAGTATTCGGTTGGTTTCTCTTAATGGTTATTCTCTCAATAAAGCTCATTCTATCAGAAGCAAAAAAAGTGTGGACCTGTACCTACATTCTGTCTATGAACAGTTTACAACAGGGGTCAGCAAACTTTTTCAGCAGGGGGCTGGTCCACTGTCCCTCAGACCTTGTGGAAGGCTGGACTATATTTTGAAGGGATAAAAATCAAAGAATTCCTGTGCCCCACAAATAACCCAGAGATGCATTTTAAATAAAAGCACACATTCTACTCATGTAAAAACACCAGGCAGGCCCCACAAATAACCCAGAGATTTTAAATAAAAGGACACATTCTACTCATGTAAAAACACGCTGATTCCCGGACCGTCCACAGGCCGGATTTAGAAAGCAATTGGGCCAGATCCAGCCCCCAGGTCTTAGTTTCCTACTCATGGTTACAAGCTATTTACGAGTAAAAGCAGGAAATCAGAAGAGCTTGTTCTGTTCAGAGAGATTAAGCCCAATCTTTAACGGATTTCTTCATAGCAAAACATTTTTCACAAGAACCGGAATATACAAAATGATGGGTGTAATAAATGTGGCCTGTGACTAGATTTCCTTTCTTCATTTAGTAAAATGCAGCCTGGGGAGTGTGTGGGGTGGGTGGGTGTGTTTCCTCAGGAGACTATATCGTGTTCCTGTTGGGATTAAAGCAACAAGGCTTGCAATCTCCTCCATGATCCAATTTGAGGGGTATGTTTTATACTAAAGTTGTGTCATCTGTACTAATGCCATGCTCCACAAATATAAACCATCTAAAAAGGCCAGACTAGCACCCATCATTACAGGGAGCCCCCTCCCCTCCAGTGCAGGTGCTATGCGCTAAAGGAATGGCGGAGACCAAAAATCAACACCAGAATAATCATGGCAATACGAAGAAACAATGTCAGTTCTGTTTCTGGTACCAGATTTGAGTGTAGTTTTTTTGTAACATATTTTGAGAGTGTCTTGGGACTTTGAAGTGGGGTGTAAGTGTTCTAAAGGAGTCACTAATTCTAAAGCACTACCTTTGAAGTGGGACGAGAGTTCTCTGGTGGTTTTATTCACAGTGATCCCATTCAGACACACAAGACATCACATAGAATCAAAGAATTGTAGAGTTGGAAAGGATCCCAATCATCTGGTCCAACCCCCTGCAATGCAGGAATCTCAACTAAAGCATCCATAGTGTTCAAATCATCCACGTGTCTGAACCAGCCTTGACAAGTCTTAGTTAAACTTTGACCAGTATTATTCAGGCTGGCCCCAAAAATGTTTTTATTTGTGAGTGCTGTCATTGAGGGAGTGTAACTGGTATTTTATTTTATTTTTTTAGCAGAAGGGTTTGCTGACCCTTTAGAAAGCATGTATTGCTGCTAGTGCTATTAATAGCAATGAGCTCAAAGGTACTATCATGTTTCACACACCAAATATACTAAGGCATATTTTAATATTTGAACAGCGCACCAATGCAAAGGTGGCCAGCAATGGTGCTTCCCCCCCACCCAGGAAGAAGCCTTGGTCCAGTATACCTATATCATTTTCCAGGAAAAGGTGTTTACCATCGGAACAAGAATATCAATACTGATGAAGATGCAACTGAATTAAACTTCACCCAGCTTGCAAGGGTGCTCTCTATTACTGGGGCATCAAGGATTACTATTACAGTGGTACCTTGGGTTAAGAATGTAATTCGTTCTGGAGGTCTGTTCTTAACCTGAAACCATTCTTAACCTGAGGTACCACTTTAGCTAATGGGGCCTCCCGCTGCCACCGCCCGATTTCTATTCTCATCCTGAAGCAAAGTTCTTAACCTGAGGTACTATTTCTGGGTTAGCGGAGTCTGTAACCTGAAGCGTCTGTAACCTGAAGCATCTGTAACCTGAGGTACCACTGTACTTTGTAAAACCCCATGATGAATGGGGGGTCCAGTACTATAGATGCACCAACTTCCATGAAAATGTGGATGCTGTTACATACTCCTTCCATAGTGGTGTTGTGAACATGCTCCCTGGAGGAATGGCTATTACCTATGGTCCAGCTTATGGTAGATGGGAACCTATCAAGACCATCTCCAATGACTCCAACACTCCCATTGCATAGAATAAGAAGATCACCAAGAAAGTGGGATACAACAAGCAGAAGATGACCAGTGTGGAAGATTTCCATGACTGCCTCATATGAGTCAGGCTTGCTCACTAAGGCCATTGCCAAGTACCAGTTCTCTCTCACTGCTGAGTATGGTGGTAAGAGGGTCAACACAGAGCAGGAAAACTGGAATGAAGCCACTGAGATTGAAGAGTCTCTTTATGTGACCCTGCAGCCCAATGAGAAGATGTAAATATGGCAATACCAGCTGGGCTTGGGCAAGGAAACGGTCTTGTTCTGCCATGATATGAAATTTACAGGTGATTCTACTCCACCTACAGATATTCCTTTGCCACCTTCTAATAAATGAAATACAGTGGTACCTCGCGTTAAGTACTTAATTCATTCCGGAGGTCTGTTCTTAACCTGAAACTGTTCTTAACCTGAAGCACCACTTTAGCTGATGGGGCCTCCTGCTGCTGCTGCGCCGGCAGAGCCAGATTTCTGCTCTCATCCTGAAGCAAAGTTCTTAACCCGAGGTAATATTTCTGGGTTAGTGGAGTCTGTAACCTGAAGCGTATGTAACCTGAGGTACCACTGTATGGTAGGTCAACAGGAACGCTCAAAGGCTTCCTCCCCATTTAGGGATCTTTTATTAAATTTGGGTGATTATTGTGGGCTAAAGTTTAGAAAATATAGAGCTCTCACAGCACTAGAAAATGATAGATACTGTATTCTAAGGTCCGCTGATGCTATATTTTGTTCCTGGAAGACTCTGCACGCTGAGAAGGGGAGTGGGAGGGTTTTCTTGTGGTTGTGTCTCTGCTTATCAATAATTTTTTTTTTTAGTTCCAATGTAGGAGGAGCGGTACGTAGTTTCTCATTAACCCATAGCCTCTTCTATCCTATTTAAGCAGCAAGTGTTCACACATTTCCCTCATTCTCCACCAAGAGAAGCAGCTGCCACCTATTACAAAAGTTTTTGTGCAAATACTGGTAAGTCTTGGAGGGCTACTGGGCAGGAGTGGAGAGAGATAACTTTAGAATTTGGGGCATAAGGGAGGGAATGCTTGTTGTGGACCTGCAGTCTAACTACCTCTTTATAATTATAAAGGTTATAATTATAAACTCTAAGGTTTTTATTTCAGCAATAACAGTACAAGTTAAATGAAGTTCCTTTTAATAATCAAACAACCAGTCTACTAAAACAGATCATGTATTCTAGCAAAAAATCTTGACTCTAAAAATGACATTAATGCATATTCAAGGAGAATCTCTCTCTGCACAGCTGAAGAAAAATCCCAGGGGGTTCCAGGGGCTGCTTCTTTGTGGACCTGTAGTCTAACTACTTCTTTATAATTATTGAGGGCCAATGATATTCCATGTGTGATATTGAAGTGACATGGGGCCTTCCCCAGTGGCGGAGGAAGGGGGGCGGGCCCCCCGGGTGCCATCTCTGAGGAGGTGTGACAAGAAGGCACACCTCAGGGGGCTCCCCTGCCACCCCGGGCGTGCACCGTCATTGTGCTGCTGCAGACGCGTGTGGAGGATCCTCTGCTCGCGGCTGCACTCTCCTCCGCTCGAGTGGTGCCATCGGCAAACCGACCAGTGGCGCATGCACAGCTCCGCTCAAGTGCCATACAGTGTACCCTAACCCTCCACCACTGCTGCAGACACGAGCGAAGGATCCCACTGACTCCGCTGCAGCTGCGAGCAGAGGATCCCGCTGCCATACATACGGTGTGCACACATGCATGGTACATAGCGGCGCACACGTGGTACGTAGCGGCACCTGCGCATGCGCCGATGAGCGGTTTGCCCCGCCCCCCTACCCTGGGTGCCTGTTCTTCTTCCTTCGCCACTGGCTTCCCTAAGGCTTTAGGGATTGGTATCTCTGGTTCCTCCAGCAACCAGAACTCCCTTCATTTACTCAGTCTCCTCTAAACGTCATGAAACACCTTGCAGGATGACATCATGATGTGATCCAGAGGCAGAATCCCCATTCCTACCCGATTCTGAACTCATATGCAACATCTTGGGTTTGGAAGGGGCCATGGGTATCTTTGAGAACGCAGATGGGACTGGAAGGGGACTCTGGGTAGGGGAAGGATTAAGCAACAGAGAAGCCAGAGCTCCCTGGAACATTTCTTTTGTAAATAGTTTATAAAGTATATCTTAGGAAAATCCATCCCTACCTCCAGATCTCTTTCAGAATGCAATCCTATACAAACTGAGTGTTTCTTGAATAGCAAGGTGTACGGCTGCATATAGTCACCAGGAGACCATGCCTATCTCAATGCTTTGTGATAATTTATTTCATAAAGTGGTTTTGCATTGTGTGGAAAGGTATCTTCTTTTGCCTATCACTGACTCTGCTGTCAGGCTGAGTCCTCTTGAGCTCTTGAGCTCTAGAGTTATGGCACCAGAAGAGGGAGTGAGGAATAGCCACTTCTTTAGTGTCACACATAATCTTATAAACTTCTATTATGCCCCTCTTTTTATATTCCTGAATCAAAAACACCCAAATGGTGGAGTTTAGTGGCTGATCAGACCACCAGCCCTTCTTGTGCAGAGTGAGGAAGAGACCCAAGAACACAGGATGTATACCTCACTCTAAGGTTTTTATTTAAGCAATAACAGTACAAGTTAAATGAAGTTCCTTTTAATAATACAACAACCAATCTACTAAAACAAACCACGTATTCCAGCAGCTGAGTTTGAATTTAAAAATGACATTCATGCATATTCAAGAACACTTTCCTCTGCTGAGCTGTAGCAAGATCCCAAGGTGTTCCAGGGACTCACCCAGTGCTCCTTTGGAGAATTGAAGACATGGTAGAGACTGTTGTAGCTTTAAGAAATATGATTTATACACATATTTAAACCTTCAGTCTGCATGGAGGGGGTGCAGAACTTACAGCATGGCAATCCCAAGCAGGGATGCTCATCTAGTCTTAACAATCTGCACCTTCTGGACACGTTGGTGTTAGAAGGAACAAATCAGACGCCACAAGAAAATATGAGGGGGAATAAAGAATTGGGGAATCTCTTCTCTTCCCCCACAGCCCCCATAGATGTGTCCTTCCATCCTCTCCTAGCTCTGAACCTCAACAGTCTGGCACTACAGTACTATTGCTGTAGAGCATTAACTACCGAGGTTGAGGGTAGGCAAGTAAGTTTATCTGCCCCTTCCAGTGCTGTATGGGAGAATGGGTGGTGTCGGTTTATGCACACAATGAGATAAGCAGCTTCAGATCTGAATTTTGCTCCTCTTTCCAAGATATTCTGAGCTGTTAGGCAGTCTCCTCCCATCACAGCTGAGATAGGAAATTAATTAGAACAGCGGTTACCAGCATGGCACTCATGAGTGCCTGGGTGCCCTCGTATGGTGCCCACAAAAGGCCTCAGTAAATATCCCCTCAAAATCCACTGGCTCTGTACAAAGTGTGTAACAAATGTTGGAAATGTAAAGAAAAAGAGGGAACATTTTATCATATGTGGTGGGAGTGTAAAAAGGTGAAATGCTTCTGGGAAATCATATATAATGAATTGAAAAAAATGTTGAAATATACATTTGTAAAGAAACCAGAGGCAGTTCTGTTAGGCATGGTTGGAAGTGAAAGAAATAGAAAAGAACGTAAGCTTTTTTTATACGCGGTAACAGCTGCAAGGACATTATTGGCCCAAAAATGGATACAATAAGAGATACCAATGATGGAAGAATGGAGAATGAAATTAATGGACTATGCAGAACTCAACAAATTAACAGGAAAGATCTGAAACCGACGGAACCATAGGTTCACCGAGGACTGGAGTAAATTTGTAGATTATTTGAAAAGTAGATGTGATGAACAAATAACGTTTGTTGGTTTGCAAAAGGCTCTGTGAAGAATTAATATTAAAAATATTGTAAAAAAGGGAGTAGGGAGGAGGAAGGTTATCATTATAAGACAATATAAAATTAGGAAATGCGTAAAAAAGAATCAAAACGGAGGATTGTCAGAAGAGCTGAGGGAAGTCCAAAAAAGAATGTATTTGTGAAAAAATGTGTGTTATGTTCTTATAATTTTGTATTGTAAAATATTATAAAAAAAACAAAACAAAATCCACTGGCTCAGCCTCTCCATTTAATGGGGCTTGAGTACTGAAGGCCCACTCTCTCATATGTTCTGAACAAGGGAGAGGTGCAAAGAGCTTCTCTTTGTGAGCAAGCACAGCAGTGATGAATGTCGGTGTTTTTGCCACACTGAGCCTTCAAAAAAGCATTGATTTCCAGCAAAATCTGGATCTTTCATTTCCTAAACAGCCATTCCCTAAAATCACAAGGCAAACTACTTTTAAAACTGGCCAGCCTGTCAAACGCAATTTATATTCCTTAGAAGGTGTGGGTGGGTCTCCTATCAAATGGAGAGAGAAATAGATAGAGAAATATGTCTTCACAAGGAGAAGGTGTTTGCTTCGTCTTTAAAGCACCTCACAATTAATTAGTAATCATTTACCTTTGGAATTATATTTGGCACTGGCAGGTATATTGTGTTAAAGCATTGAGACAATTTTCCAAGACGTCAGCAAATTCTGTTAATTATTTCATTTTCATAAACAATAAAATAAGTAAATAGAGTAAATAAATGATCAATTTGTGAAATCTTCTGATCTAACTGAATACATTGCTTTCTTTTCCTAGAATCAAGCACCATGCCAGAGATAGTCCCTAAGAACAAAGCCCCAGGGGTTGATTTCTGTGGGGTAGATGAATATTACTACATTGTCCGCTCAGACCTGGGCTGCTACATGAGGTCCACCAATTTCCATGAGGGCAAAGACCTCGAAGTGTTTAGCCTGCACAGTTCCTGCCAGGGAGGAGATCACTACTTAGCCCATGAGGATGACCTATTCTACATCATCAAAGGAGACAACTATCGCCGTGTCAGCAACATGAATAAAGACTTAGGTGCTGTAGTATACAGCCTCCATCCCAACTGCCGCGGAGGGGACCATTACCTCTCAGCCTTTGGATCCTTCTATATCATTTTCCAGAAAAGAGGTGTTTACCGTCGGGTCAGTAATATGCATGAAGATACAGATGCAGTTGAATACACACTTCACCCAACTTGCAAGGGTGGTCTCTATTACTGGGGCATCAAGAATTACTATTACTTTGTAAAACCCCATGATGAATGGGGGGTTCAGTACTATAGATGCACCAACTTCCATGAAAATTTGGATGCTGAAACATACTCCTTCCATAGTGATGTTGTGAACATGCTCCCTGGAGGAATGGCTATTACCTATGGTCCAGCTTATGGTAGATGGGAACCTATCAAGACCATCTCCAATGAGTCCAGCACTCCCATTGTGTGGAATAAGAAGATCACCAAGAAAGTGGGATACAACAAGCAGAAGATGACCAATGTGGAGCACAACTGGAAGGTTTCCATGACTGCCTCATATCAGTCAGGTGCGCTCACTGAAGCCATTGCCAAGTATCAGTTCTCTCTCACTGCTGAGTATGGTGGGAAGAGGGTCAACACAGAGCAGGAAAACTGGAATGAAGCCACTGAGATCGAAGAAGCTATTAGTGTAACCGTGCAGCCCAATGAGAAGATGTACATATGGCAGTTTGAGATGGGCTTGGGCAAGGAAGAGGTCTTGTTCTGCCGTGATATAAAATTTACGAGTGATTCTACTCCACCTACAGATATTCCTTTACCACCTTCTGATAAGTGAAAAATGTTAGACCAAAAGGCCCCCTCAAACGCTTCCTCTCTATTATAAAATCTGATTGATTACTATGATTGATTACTATTGATTACTATATTTAGAAAATATAGAGCTCTCCTGAGCTAAGGGGGAATTCACTGAGCATAGCTGTCAACCTTTCCCTTATTCCGAATAGGATTCCTCGCAAGAAAAGGCAAACGTTGACAGCTATGTCGCTGAGTGATATATAGAGATGCAAAAGCTAAAGACCAAGTGAGATTAATGATTATTAGACATATTATATACTCTCATATAGACATATACATCTTGATAGGCTACATAGATATACTTGTCCAAGTTTATGCAAAACTCCTTAGGCTACAGCTAGAAAAGCATATCCTAGTTCAGGGGTCAGCAACCTTTTTCAGCCTAGGGTCGGTCCACCGTCCCTCAGACCATGTGGTGGGCAGGGCTACATTGGGGGGGGGGGTGAACGAATTCCTATGCCCCAGAAATAACCCAGAGATGCATTTTAAATAAAAGGACACATTCTATCCTTGTAAAAACACGCTGATTCCCGGACCGTCCGCCGGCCGGATTGAGAAGGCGATAGGGCCAGATCCGGCCCCCGGGCCTTAGTTTGCCTACCCCTGTCCTAGTTTGTGCACAAAGCTGGTGACCCAGGCTGAATGACTTCTGGATGAGCTACTATTTATAAGCTATAAATCCCTTTGCTAAATTTGTTCCTTCATTTTGCTTTGTATTTGCTGAACTCTGCAACCTGTCCCACTGTTGTTATACAAATCAAATAAAATGAAGAATCGATGGTTTAAAAATGTGTTCCATGCACTTTTCACACTTGTGTACAAAATGAGTTTCAACATATATTTTCCAGAAGACACAAATACCTTCTTCCTTTTCCAGAAGATTTGAGGGTTGGCCTAGGGCAGGGGAGGGTTCCAGGGGCTGCTTCTTTGTGAACCTGTAGTCTAACTACTTCTTTATAATTATTGAGTGCCAATGATATTCCATGTGTGATATTGAAGTGACATGGGGCCTTCCCCAGTGGCGGAGGAAGGGGGCGGGCCCCCCGGGTGCCATCTCCGAGGAGGTGTGACAAGAAGGCACACCTCAGGGGGCTCCCCTGCCACCCTGGGCGTGCACCGTCATTGTGCTGCTGCAGACGCGTGTGGAGGATCCTCTGTTCGCGGCTGCACCCTCCTCCACTGTCCATACAGCGCTCGAGCAGTGCCATCGGCAAACTGACCAGTGGTGCATGTGCGGCGCCGCTCAAGAGCCATAGAGTGTACCCTAACCCTCCTCCACCACTGCTGCTGCTGCGAGCGAAGGATCCCACTGACTCCGCTGCAGCTGCGAGCAGAGGATCTCGCCGCCATACATACGATGCGCACGCATGCATGGTACATAGCGGCGCACACGTGGTACGTAGCGGCACGTGCGCATGCGCCGATGGGCGGTTTGCCCTGCCCCCCTACCCTGGGTGCCTGTTCTTCTTCGTTCGCCACCGGCTTCCCTAAGGCTTTAGGGATTGGTATCTCTGGTCCCTCCAGCAACCAGAACTCCCTTCATTTACTCAGTCTCCTCTAAATGTCATGAAACACCTTGCAGGATGAGATCATGATGTGATCCAGAGGCAGAATCCCCATTCCTACCAGATTCTGAACTCATATGCAACATCTTGGGTTTGGAAGGGGCCCATGGGTATCTTTGAGAACGCAGATGGGACTGGAAGGGGCCTCTGGGTAGGGGAAGGATTCAGCAACAGAGAAGCCAGAGCTCCCTGGAACATTTCTTTTGTAAATAGTTTATAAAGTATAACTTATATTAGATACATCCATCCCTACCTACAGATCTCTTTCAGAATGCAGTCCTAGACAAACTGAATGTTTCTTGAATAGCAAGGTATACGGCTGCATATAGTCACCAGGAGACAATGCCTATCTCAATGCTTTGTGATAATTTATTTCATAAAGTGGTTTTGCATTGTGTGGAAATGTATGTTCTTTTCCTATCACTGACTCTGCTGTCAGGCTATTTTAATAGGACCTCTTGAGCTCTAGAGTTATGGCACCAGAAGAGGGAGTGAGGAATAGCCACTTCTTTAGTGTCACGCATAATCTTATAAACTTCTGTTATGCCCCTCTTTTTATATTCCTGAATCAAAAACACCCAAATGGTGGAGTTTAGTGGCTGATCAGACCACCAGCCCTTCTTGTGCAGAGTGAGGAAGAGACCCAAGAACACAGGATGTATACCTCACTCTAAGGTTTTTATTTAAGCAATAACAGTACAAGTTAAATGAAGTTCCTTTTAATAATACAACAACCAATCTACTAAAACAAACCACATATTCCAGCAGCTGAGTTTGAATTTAAAAATGACATTCATGCATATTCAAGAACACTTTCCTCTGCTGAGCTGTAGCAAGATCCCAAGGTGTTCCAGGGACTCACCCAGTGCTCCTTTGGAGAATTGAAGACATGGTAGAGACTGTTGTAGCTTTAAGAAATATGATTTATACACATATTTAAACCTTCAGTCTGCATGGAGGGGGTGCAGAACTTACAGCATGGCAATCCCAAGCAGGGATGCTCATCTAGTCTTAACAATCTGCACCTCCTGGACACGTTGGTGTTAGAAGGAACAAATCAGACGCCACAAGAAAATATGAGAGGGAATAAAGAATTGGGGAATCTCTTCTCTTCCCCCGCAGCGCCCATAGATGTGTCCTTCCATCCTCTCCTAGCTCTGAAGCTCAACAGTCTGGCACTATAGTACTATTGCTGTAGTTGCTGTACTGAGGTTGAGGGTAGGCAAGTAAGTTTATCTGTCCCTTCCAGTGCTGTATGGGAGAACGGGTGGTGTCGGTTCATGCACACAAGTTTATCTGCCCCTTCCAGTGCTGTATGGGTGAAAGGATGGTGTCAGTTTATGCACACAATGAGATAAGCAGCTTCAGATCTGAATTTTGCTCCTCTTTCCAAGATATTCTGAGCTGTTAGGCAGTCTCCTCCCATCACAGCTGAGATAAGAAATTTATTAGAACAGCAGTTACCAGCATGGCACTCATGAGTGCCTGGGTGCCCTCGTATGGTGCTCACAAAAGGACTCAGTAAATATCCCCATAAAATTCACTGGCTCAGCCTCTCCATTTAATGGGGCTTGAGTACTGAAGGCCCACTCTCTCGTATATTCTGAACAAGGGAGAGGTACAAAGAGCTTCTCTTTGCAAGCAAACCTTCTGAGAAGCATTCCGGAAGCAAAGGGCCTCTGAAATAAAACAGCTTTGATGACACCTCTGAAAGTCAGTAGGGTGAGTGTCTGCCTAACGTCTTGTAGCAATTCCATAGAGTTGGGCCCACAACACTGAAGGCACAACTCCTTGTTGACACGAGACACGATTGTGGTCCATAGAGAAGCATTAATCATGCTTCCCCCAGTGACCTCAGGGATACCTCAGGCTATCTCTGAGGTATTCTGGATGTAAAGTATTCAGGGATTTGTACACGAGTACAAGAACCTTGAGTATAACAAGTCTGAACCAAGCCCGTGGCTGATGCAAAGTCGGTGGAGGTCTTTTAACAGTGATACCATGTGTTCATGGTGTTTGTGGTGGTCATCATGTTTCACGGCCTGAGACATTTTGGCATCTGAGGTGTGCCTCAGAATAGCAGCCCCCCCATTTCCACCAGGGAAGAACAGGTGAAGGAAGATGTACATCAGGGACAAGGGAGGAAGAAATATTGACCCCTGCTGCCTCAGTACATCCTGCCGCCTGAGGCAGTCACCTCACCTTGCCTCATGGGTGGACCAGCTCTGTTCTCTTCTTTGTGTTCCTCTTTCAGGTGGGGAAGGATAGATTTCCTTATTGCATTGCCAGTAGATGAACACTTTGACTTTTTACGTATTTTAAAATTGCATTTGGTTGATATTTATGGTGTTTTTTTCAATTACCGTATTTTTTGCTCTATAGGACGCACCCAATCATAGGACACACCTTGTTTTAGTGGGGGAGAACAAGAAAAAAAAATCTCCCCCTCTCTGCTCAGCACCCCTTCAGCGAAGCGGCAGGAGAAATGGAGCCCCTTCCATTTCTCCTCCCGCTTGTCTGATGGGGCGCTGCGCAGCTCTCCCTGTCTGCTGAAGCCAGGAGAGTCTTGCTCTCCCAGCTTCACCAAAAGGAACCCGAAGCCTTTGGAGTGCAGCACGAGGTCCTGCTGTGCTCCAAAGGCTTCAGGTGCCTATCCCTGAAGCCTGGAGAGCGAGAGGGGTCGGTGCGCACCGACCCCTCTTGCTCTCCAGGCTTCAGCAAAAGCAACACATAGCCTCCGGAGCGCGGAGGAAGCGCTCCCTCTGCACTTTGGAGGCTTTGCGTTGCTATCGCTGAAGCCAAGGAGCCTGTATTCGCTCCGTATGACACTCACACATTTCCCCTTAATTTTTGGAGGGGGAAAAGTGTGTCTTATAGAGCGAAAAATACGGTACTATCTCCCGGGGCCAAAAAACATGTGATGCAAAATTAGAAAGCACATCAGGATTTGTACTTATTAAATAATAATGAGGTTAATGGAAATCAACATACATACATGGCCCCTGATTAACCTTTGTTGTTGTTGTTGTTTGCTGTTGTTTAGTCATTTAGTCGTGTCCGACTGTTCATGAACCCATGGACCAGAGCACGCCAGGCACTCCTGTCTTCCACTGCCTCCGCAGTTTGGTCAAACTCATGCTGCTGGCTTTGAGAACACTATCCAACCATCTCGTCCTCTGTCATCCCCTTCTCCTTGTGCCCTCAATCTTTCCCAGCATCAGGGTCTTTTCCAGGGAGTCTTCTCTTCTCATGGCCAAAGTATTGGAGCCTCAGCTTCAGGATCTGTCCTTCCAGTGACCACTCAGGGCTGATTTCCTTAAGAATGGAGAGGTTTGATCTTCTTGCAGTCCACAGGACTCTCAAGAGTCTCCTCCAACACCATAATTCAAAAGCATCAATTCTTCGGCGATCAGCC